GGGCGGGCGCGGCAGCCGGTGGGCTCGGGAGGGCCCTGTGCAGGCTGTGCCCTCACCCTGCTCCTCCTTTTGGGGCTCTCGGCCCACCCCCCCGGCTCTGACCCCTCACCCAGACCCCCTCCCAACCCGGCAAAGGGAGTCCCAATCCCTGTTCCCCTGCTCCAGCCCTGCACCCTCCACCCCAAGGCTCAGCAAATCTCTCTCCAAGCCCCTTTGCTTCCCTCCAGCTCAAAGCAGAGCCCTTCCTGGGGCACAGCCTCCCCCAGCCCCGGGCCCCATCGCCTTCCCTGGACACCCCCTACCTCTGCGGCAGAGGCCAAGGGTGAGAAGGGCCAGGAGGGTCAGCAGGACGAGGGACCTCATGGTGCCTCTCCGCACAGGCGCTGTGCTCAGTGCAGCCCCTGGTCCCTGAGCAGCTTTATAGGGTGCTGCGACTGCTGTCAAGGAGGGGCCCTGTGGCCCTGCCAGAGCTATTTCCAGCACATCCGCTGGGGCCAGGAGCCGCCAGCACAGGCGGCAATTGTGGTTTGGGGTGAACTTGGTTCCCCCGTGACCAGCCAGAGCCCAGAGGGAGGAAAACGCAGCCCCAGGCCAGTGGAGATTTGCTGGTGGGCCCAGCCCTGCCGGCCTGGCAGCACCCGGTCCCCCAGCCCCTAACTGGGATGGGAGACGGGGCGCTGGTGGGACTCCTCGCCGTACTCCTCAGTCACTGACTGGTCTGTCCCAGTTCCCGCTGCTGGATCCCAGCAGCGTTGCTGCCACGCTAGGAGAGTTTCCTGCCAAAACCCGTGGGGTTTTCCTCTCCGCGCAGGGCCAACAGGGACTCGTCGGCCAATTTTTTGCCTCGGGGCCCAGTGCGTGCTCCTTCTGTGGCATCGTCATCACAGCCCCTTGCTGGGGCTGACTGCCATGACCCAGGAGGAGAGGGCGAGCAGGTGCCCTCGCCCTCGGGCTCCATGCAGCTCTCCCACACCGCATCCCATGGGCAGATGCTGTGTGCCAGGGCCAGGGCCCCAGGCAGCACCTGTTCCTGGGAACAGGACCTCAGAAAGAGATCCGGCACCTCTTAAAACCCCAAAACAGGGCTTTGCGAGAACAAAAAAGCGTGCTGCTGGTGTGGTTCAGGCACCGAGCAGAGGTGAAGGGGAGTGGAGCTGCTGGAGAAGCAGAATCTCTCGTTCATCCCACCTTTTGCTTCCTACTCTCCACAAGACCCCAGCAACGCTCAGGGCGGTCACCCACCTCCAGAGTTTGCTCCTATTTAATTCCAGGAGGGCTCCAAGCAGCGGGAGCTCCCAGGGCCGCCTGGGGTCACATTCCTCTTTAGGATCCTGACCACTTTCCAGACTTTCAGATCCTATAAATCCCAGCCCTGTCTTGAAAAGCGGAACTGGAGGCTTTGGGGTGGAGGAGGAGAGAAATGTTGAAGCCAGAGCCTTTGTCAAACCAACCCATAAACTACAGAGTACGGGGGCCAAGCGCACACAGCGGGAGCCAAGACCGGGGGAACAACAGCTCCAATTTATTTAGATTATAATGCAGCGAGGGAAGGCTTGTTTACGACAGAAGGAAAATATGCCCTAAGTCAGTCAATCGCAGGCTCTGGCTACCTCTAATTGAAAACAGGGGCTTGTGCTTGGTGGAAATCGCCACCATTGTTCTCAGAATTTGTACTTCCCCACCACGCAGGGCACAGCCTCTCCTTGGGACAGCATGCACTAACAGCCGAAAAATGTAACAGGCGCAGAGGACGACAGGTGACCAGAGAACCTGCCGCCCTTGGCAGCCCTGGTGTCTGTTGGAAATAGACTCACAGTCAGCCCTTGTCAGGCTCAGTAAGACTCTCCTCATTATCTGCCCAGCCCGGAGGAAGGCCCTCTTGTTCATTTTGAAGGAACACCTCACTCGCAGGCTTTCACTAACGCCCCGGCAGGCAGACTCCAGCGAGTCCCTGCTTCCCTGGCTGGCAAACTTCTGATGAGATGGTAAAGAACAACTCCAGATGGGTAAAACCAAACCCAGTCTGGTTCCAGGAGTCAACATGGAGGTTTCACAGGAAAACATCAAATCCCTTTGCCACGAGCCCACAAAGTCGAGGCAGGACCATTCTAACCTCTGCTCGTCTCCACACGCACGAACAGCACATCCCCGGCTCCTTCACACTGCGGTCCTTGGAGAAGAGCCCTCAGCGTGTATCTGCTGGGAGGGGAGCAGGGTTGGAAAATAACTGGAAAAAAAGAATAAATGGCAACAAGGAAGCAGCTGCTGACATGTCTGTTCTGATGGGTCACGGGCGGACAATTGTTTAAAAGACGCAGATACGGAAAATGAACACTTGCAAAAATGCGGCAAAAGAGTCCAATGTGGCTATTTACACTCCAGCTGTACAAAATGCCACGGTAGCGTTTACCCGGTGGCTGGCTTCGTGTGCTACAGCTCCCTGGCTCCTCGCTCCCGTGCACAGCACAGCCTCTGTGCATAAGACACCGATTTTTCTCTAATGCACATCTGAAATAGCTTCAAGGCCACAAATTTGGCTTTGGTAAGCTAGAATCACGCCCGTCACAGCGCTAAAGAAGCGTGTGAGTGTACAGACATGCTCTGGCTATCAGATCTGTAGGATTCTCCTCCCTGTTGAGCTGGGCGGGGGATAGGAAATTGTCATCTATTTCCAAAGACCCTGATGTGTTCTTTTTTTATTTCTTCACAAACTTTGATCAAATTGCGCGAGCCCAGCAGCTTTGCAGTCCCGCTTCAAGTTTCTTCCGGCCCGACAAGAGGAACGCGAGTTTGCCTGGTTCGTATACGCCATGCGCAGAGTCCCACTTCCCAACGCGTTGTCAGTGCTTCCGAGATGAGGATAAACTCCCCCCTGCAGAATCTTCCCGCATCCTCACTGGGGCTCCTCGAATGTCATGATGAGTTCTCGTTGCTCTTTACTAATTGCCTGGAAGTAAAACACCCACCACTGAACTCAGCAAAGTGTTTTTCTCCACAGATGCCAGAGTTCAGGACACAAAGCAGGCTGATATAAAACAGAGCGTCATACATACTGCCGTCCCCAGCACGTACGGAACACAACCCGCTAATCCCACACGCTCACCCACAGAAACATCCAAGACCTCCAGTGAAAATACCCGGGCCTCCCCAGTCAACTTCAGCAGTACTTGGCTCCTGGTAAGGCCTTTGACAAGTGGGGGGCTTAAATACAGTGCAGCCATTTGCTAGTCAAGCCACAGAATAGTGTTTCTTTCAGGCTGATGCTGCAAAGGGAAGGGGCTTTTATTTGTTTATTGTTTATTTTTACCTGCCAGGCATGTTTGCGAGCTTGTATCAGCTGCTGCAGCTCTGCAATCCTATCCCTCCCTGCAAGCACAGACTCCGCTACCTTCCTGTTCTCTTCCTCCTTCTCCTTTAGGACTTTCCGCAAGTATGACCTGTGCTTAAGGAGGTATGGCACCATAGCGCTGCGAACGTCCTCTTCTGGGATCCCGCTGGGACGCCTGGGAACAAACTGGGATGTGAAGCAACCAGAGGGCAACAATCTCGCACAGCAATTAGTCTTGCGCACCTCAACTGGAAGCTGAGCTGCTGCCATAATGTATCAGCTGACCGACTCCAGCAATTTACCTCTGGCACCAGATGCTTGGGGACAGCTAGAACATGTGGTTCTCACGGGCACCCCCATTGCGTAGCCCCCGAACGCCCTACATGAAGGAACGGGAGGAGTCCTTCCCAAAACCCAGCTGTTAGTTGAGGTCTGGCGGCAGGCAGGATGTAATTAACTTCCCCAAACAAGAAATCGTGATGACGCTTTTGATTAAAAGACTCAGCCTGCCTTCAGGGCAAACAAAAGGCAGAGCGTACAACGTCCAGCGTCTGCCGAGTCCTTAAGCAAGGCATCCTGACAAGACACGTTGAGGTGAGCTCTGCTATTAGAGCAATAGCCGTGGCTAAAACACGCCGTCAGCCTTTTGAATTATTCAGAATTGAGTTTACCTCCCCTCTGGTCTCAGCAGCACTAACCTCCTCCTTGCACTGAGGAAGCATAGATACCTGACCTAGAGAAGCACAGATAAAACTTATTTTCGGATGTTTTAGACACAATAACATTACTGTTAAGATACAAGAGGTTTAAAAATATCCCCTTGCAGCACAAGGCCTACAGGACACATCAACATGACCAAAACATCACACTTTTGCCCTTGAAGGAGCACGCCTCCACACACACACACGCTCCCCAGACTACCTTCCACAAGACTATCCATACCATGCGGGCTCTTCCCGGTTCTTTGCCTCCTCCACAATCTTATCCAGTGAATTAAAGAGCGCCTCCAGATTCCCTTCATCCTTTACCTCCTGGATCTCCTCCTGTGAAGAAAGGACACCACAGGGATTCAGCAGGACCCAAACTGAACTGACACGGGCATCATTCTGCCTGCGAGCCCCCGCTTTTCCCTGGATGGAGGCTACATCCTGGGAATTGCCAGGTATTGAGTCACCTAAAAGACGTGTGGACATAGTGCTCAAGGGCATGGTTTAGTGGTGGAGTCGGCAGCGCGAGGTTAACGGTTGGACTTGGTGATCTTAAGGGTCTTTTCCAACCTAAAAACGATTCTATGGTTCTACAGCTCTTTCTGGGGAAGACAAAGAGGTCCGGAAGAATCCCTGGGGAGCAGTCTTAACTTTCTGGTTTCGCCATTCGAGAAATGCATTTGCTACCCTTAATATCAACGCGTTCAGCGCCTTCACGCCGAGGGCCTGAAGCCCCTCCGAAGGCACACACGTCCCCGAGCCCCTGCCCCGAAGGGCCTGCTTCCCCCTTCACCTTGATGGACGACTGCAGCTGGGATATAAACTGGTCGTAAATGCTCCTGGTCATCTCGGGCTGCAGTTTGTAGAAGCAGCGGTAGCAGTTTGCGAACCTCTGGTAGCTGCAAGACCGGAGGGGCAGGGGTGTCACTGCGGGGGTGTCACTGCCAGGGGCCGGGGCCTCCTCGGGGCAGGGCTCGGCCGGGCCCCGGCTCCCACAGAGCGGCCCGTCCTGGCGAGACCCCGCTCCTGCCTCACCTCCCGGCTGCTGCCAGCTTCTCCAGGAAGGTGTCCACCACGGTGGTGAAGACCT